TGCCTGCGACTCGGGCTGTGGGGGCCGGGCCTGACCTTTCCTTTGCAGGACCCCGGCCTCGTCATGGACCCCGAGTGCGCCCAGCTCCTCCCCGCTCTCTGTGCGGCCCTGGCAGACCCCAGGCAGCCTGTGGCAGATGACACCTGCTTGGAGAAGTTGCTGGACTGGTTTAAAACCCTAACTGAAGCAGGTGAGGGGCGCTGTTCTTGCCTTTCCCAGAGGCCAGAGGGTGCACAGGGCTCCCCTGTCCTGGAGGAGGGGTCCGCATCTGGTCAGTGTCCTTCCCTCACATCCTGAAGACCCACCCTGGCTACTTGGGGTCACATCAGGGTGAGGGAGTGATCAGGGAGCGAGCTGCAGCTTGAAGTTTACTGATTCCAGCCGGATTCGGGCCTCCGCAGTTCCGTCTGTGCTAGGTGCTAGGTGGCTGCCGAGGGCGAGGGCACACGCATTTTCCTGTTCTCAATGCATTTTTTTCTTTATTAAAAAATCGGTTTTGTTTTCTCTCTGATTATGAAAGTAAAACTTTTTTTTTTAATCCTGAAATTTTTTCCATTGATTTTTTAGAGAAGATTGAAGGGAGGGAGGGGGACGAGAGAGACAGAGAGAGAAACATCGATGTGGTTGCCTCCTGCACATGCCCAGACCGGGGCTGGGCATCAAACCTGCAGCCCAAAGGCATTTCTTGACCAGGAATCGAACCCGAGACTCTTCCATGCAAGGCTGACACTAACCACTGAGCACACCAGCCAGGGGCATAACACATATTTTTTTTTTAATATATTTTATTGATTTTTTACAGAGAGGAAGGGAGAGAGATAGAGAGTTAGAAACATCGATGAGAGAGAAACATCGATCAGCTGCCTCCTGCACACTCCCTACTGGGGATGTGCCCGCAACCAAGGTACATGCCCTTGACCGGAATTGAACCTGGGACCTTTCAGTCCGCAGGCCGACGCTCTATCCACTGAGCCAAACCGGTTTCGGCAACACATATTCTTTATATAAAACTTCAACCACATGCCCAGCTGGTGGCTCAGTGGTTGAACACCGACCAATGAACCAGGAGGTCAGGGTTCGATTCCCGGTCAGGGCACATGTCCAGGTTGTGGCCTCGATCCACAGTGTGGCGGGTGCAGGAAGCAGCTGATCAGCGATTCTCTCTTATCATTGATGTTTCCATCCCTCTCTCTCTCTTCCTCTCTGAAGTCAGTAGAGATGTACTAAAACTTCAACAACACAAAGGAGTAAAGAGGAAAATTAAACCAGTCACCTTTTTATTTCCTGCGGCCATTTTCCTAACACGAAGCTGTATCTACAATAATAAAAGCGTAATATGCTAATTAGACCGGACAACCTTCCGGATGAAGCCGGGCTGCGAGGGAAGCCCGGGTCCCGGGTGCCAGAGGGAAGCCAGTGCCGGCAGCTGGGGGAAGGAGGGCCTACTCTTGCAGGAATTTCATGCATCGGGCCTCTAGTTTTTCTTATAAAAACGAGGTCCCTCCATCGTACAGTTTGGGGTCTTGCCGGTTCTCTCTTACCTCACAGCAGGTGTTTTCTGCTTGGAGCAGGTCGATTTACTGACTGTCATTCACTAGATTTTACCTAATCACGTCTCCATGGTAAGGTGATCCTGTCTCTAACGGTTCGCTACTATAAACGGTGCCACAATTCTCCGACACTGACTTCCGCTGTTTTCCCCTTAGTCAGTCTCTTACCCTCTTTTGGGTTGAACGTCGAGGCCTGTCTTGTTTTCTCCTACACGCGCTCCTCTGACCGGGCCCTCCGCCCGCCCTCCCTCAGGCTGCCCTGGGCGGTGAGTGCTTCTGCTGTAATGCAGTTCCAGGGGCTTCATACTTTCCCCGATGATTGTTTTCTTCGGCCACAAATTCTTTAAAGGGGTGTCTTTTAGATGCAAAACATGGGTTTCTTTCCGTCTTCCCTGTTGATTGCTCATTTATTTCATTGGAGGTAGACGGTATCTGCGTCTCTCTTTTCTTACATCTGTTGAGGTCTGATTGAGGCGCGTTGCACGGGGAGTTTTTGCAAATGTTCTGTAGAGTCTGCTGCATGTGCTGTGTTCTGGCGTGTGCAGAGTCCTCCCTGGTGGCCTCGTTCGTAAGCCACATTATTTATTTAAATATATCTTTATTGCATTCACAGGGGAAGGGAGAGGGGGAGAGAGACAGAAAAGAGAATCATTGATTGGCTGCCTCCTGCAGATCAAGCCCGAAACTCAGGCATGTGCCCTTAACAGGAATCGAACCCGGGACCCTTCAGTCCACAGGCTGACGCTCTATCCACTGAGCCAAACGAGCTAGGGCTGTAGTCACAATTTAAAAAATAGTTTTGACCCGCTGTATTGAGATACACTAATTGATTCACCACGCAGCTGACGCATTTAAAGTGTACACTTCCGTGGCTTTTAGCGCATTTACAGGGCTGTGCAGCCATCGCCACAACCTCATTTTGCAACATTTTTCTCCCAAAGAGGCCTGGTTCCCAGGGGCCCCCCCCCCGCCCCCCCCGCAAGCCGGCACTGGCTTTCCCCGTGTCCTGTTCCTGCGTTCACGTGTTTGTCGTTCTTGCTCATTTTGGGTGGCTGTTTCTGGGAGGCGTGTGAACCTCTCCCGCTGAGATTGTGGGCCCGGCATTTTCTTCGGGAATTCTTTTCCCTTCAGGAGCCTTGGCGTGGGGAGCGAGCAGGCTGGCGGGTCCGTCGCCTCTGAAACGGCTGCTTCTGAAGCCCCGAGGGCTCTGTGTTGAAGCCGCTTTTTACAGTTGGAAGGTGCCGCCTGTCCCTCCGCCCTCAGCCCGCAGGTCCCCATGCCGGCGTCTCCCATAGACAGCAGACGGCCTGGGGCTCTGCACGTGATCTAAGCCTGTCCCTCCGCCCTCAGCCCGCAGGTCCCCATGCCGGCGTCTCCCATAGACAGCAGCCGGCCTGGGGCTCTGCACGTGGTCTGAGCAGCTCTGTTAACACCGGGAACGGTTCCATTTGCTTTCTGTTGTATCTGAGCCTGTTCTCACCACGTTCTTTTACATTTTCCTGTCTTTGCTCCTTTCCCTCCTGGTCCTGCCCTCCGCGGGCGGATAAAGCTTTCGGTTTTGTCAGCCCTTTCTTCCGGCTTTGAAGTTGCGCGTCCCACGCCTGTTCCTGAGCGGCCACCCTCCAGCTCGTTAGCATCTCCTCTGCGCGTCCGAGGGTCTTCGCGGTTCCTCCGGGCGGCACGATCGCTGGGCCCTTGTTGTCTGGTGTTTGGAGCCAACCCCAGCCCTTACAGCGGTGCCTGTAGACTTTCCCGGTCTGTGGCCGCCCTCCTTGCTGCCCCCTCTTCCTCGCCCTGTCCGTTCCCTTCTCCCCGGAGCTCAGTGTTCCGAGTCCTCGCCGTGGGCCCGCCTTGGGACCCGCCTTCATCTGCCTTGCCTCCCGTCGGTGGATGGCGCGGGGCGTCGGTGAGGGTAGACGCTGAGGTGCGGGTCGCAGGAATGGCCGCCTGCTGTGCTTCCGGCATCAAGTTCGCTCAGTTTAAGAAAAGTGTCCGCTTGAGGGAACGATGGTCCTGCTGGAACTTGCATCTCTTTCATAATCGGCAGCACCTGCACTTCCTGTCTGCGCCCTCGACCCGTGTGAGGTGTTGGCCTCCTAGTTTGTTCCCTGCGTTAAGGCAGTGGTTCTCAACCTCCTGGCCCTTTAAATACAGTTCCTCATGTTGTGACCCAACCATAAAATTATTTTTGTTTCTACTTCATAACTGTGATGTTGCTACTGTGATGAATCGTCATGTAAATCTCTGATATGCAGGATGGTCTTAGGCGACCCCTGTGAAAGGGTTGTTCGACCGCCAAAGGGGTCGCGACCCACGGGTTGAGAACCGCTGAGTTAAGTGATGGACCCTTCGCGGCCGTTGTGGCAAACATGTCCTCCCGTTAGCGGCTCGATCTAAAGGCCCGAGAGAGGGGGTGGGAGCTGCTGGCCGGGAGAGCAGCCCCCGGGACGCGTGGCTGTGCAGTGACGGCCCCGCTGGCTTTGTCCAGGGTCCAGCCTGCAGCTGCTGCAGGACAGCCCCTGCCTGGTGGAGC